TCTATTATATTTACGACAGATAACACAAAGATAGACTACCTGACAGTCCGTGCGCACCGTGTTCGGAGGTTCTAGTCAACCGACAGAGACTCCTCGCTACGTTAAACAGAGAGAACGAATTTAGGACCTAACTGGCGCACGATAGAATATTCTGGCTTGCTTGACTCCTGTAATAGATATATTTTATCTAAAGTTCACAGAGGGCAAGTGTCTGTGCTCGTCTGCATTGCACAGCATTATGATGCAACATGATTACTGTTGGAATAAGGAGGGGTGTGCGTGTGAGCGGGATTATAGAAAAAACATTTTGCCAACCATTTATGTTATGATCATTTCTATTGCACAGAGGACATTTTCAGACCACAGCTCTCACTGAATATTTCACTATTCTGCAAGAAAATATTTGTGTCAGGTTAAACTAAACAAAGAATATGTATATACAAAAGAAAATAATACTGTTGTAAACTTGGAAACAGTCCTAATCCCGAAGGAAACAGGTAACCTAGTATTCCTCGCCTTATAGCTCCACTTCCTGCCTGGAAGGAGAGCAGGTATCTAAATGTAATGCCCCTGTCACAGCGACTAAGAGGCTTTTCCTATTTTAGGTAACAAGCAGTGGGGCAGCACTAACCAGCACGCTGTAATGCAGAGACAGTTAACACAAGCTCCAAATTGTGTCCTTGCATCAAAGTCGCACAACTATGGATCTGTTTTCATATGTACCCAGAGATCTCTAAAGAAACAGAATTGTGCCTTACATTACTTATTTTCTCTGATAGAGAACCAACAAGTTGCACAGGTGGAAACAAACGTAATAATAAAAAGAAAGAAAAAACATCAATGTGTTGCTTATTGCCTATTTAAAAGCTCTACAAGTGGCCTGAGAGAAATAACAATAAGGAAGAGAACATGTTAACATTGTATATGAAATAAAACCATTTCAGCAAGTAACTTCTGCATGGACACCTAAGAAAATGATCACTTTTAAATGTTTAGGTCCACAGGGTCCAAATTAAGCGAGAAATGTCAACTTGGAAGTGAGAATGTGTTTTTGATCCTGCAGCAGAGAGAATATGTCTTCCCCCAGATGGTAAGAGGAGTATTTAAGGAGTCTGGAAACACCTTGAGAACAGCAGCTGTTACTTTGGGTTTTTCAAAGACTGACAGGTGAGTGCTTTGCTCTGTGACTTGAATGTAATGGGAATGCACAAAGGGATCTCCTCTAAAAGAGACCAGTTGTTTGGCCCTTATATTTGGATATCAACAGTAAGAGAAATCGTTTGTATAATGCAAATGATGAAAAGGATGTCAGATACTGAAATGCAACACTTAACTCATGAGAGAAATGTTCAGGTAAAACAGATATATCTCAGAAAATCATGAAGGAACTTGACTGCATGCACCTGCTGCTATACATTACAAAACTGCTATCACATGTGGAGTGGAAATGATTGGAAAATCACACAGCGAGAGTAAATAGCAGATCCAAGGGCCAAAAGTGGAAGAAAAGGGCAAGAAAGAGATTAATTCCATCTGATCTTCACAGGCCATTAGTTATGCAACTCTCTCTGCAGCCCGTGGTTTTCAACTAGACCAATTACATAATACAGGCATGTGGAGATGCATCTCTATCGGCGCATTGTGGCTGCTTTAGTCCGGGCAATGATTTGGAAAGGCGGCGGCCTCACACAGGGATTTAACGCCCAGTGCAACAGATGGTGCATTCCTACTCTTCCAGTTTGATTAGACACGCGCACACGCACGCACACACACACAGGCACACACAGGCACACACACAAGCAAGCACACACAGGCACATACACAAGCAAGCACACACAGGCACACACACACAGGCACACACACAAGCAAGCACACACAGGCACACACAGGCACACACACATGCACGCACACACAGGCACACACAGGCACACACACAAGCAAGCACACACAGGCACACACACTCAAATCATCCAGAATATTCCATTGTGTTTACCTTTTTCTTGGGTGGCATGGTGGCTAAAGGGGTCCACTGGTGTTATCCCACGGATGTACCGACCAGCTCAGATTATCGTTCAACCGGTTCCAGAAAAAGAGACATGGACAAGTAATCCATGAGACAGAGTTTACCTCTGAAACAGGTGGATGTGTCCGAGGACGCCGTTTAACTCAGCAAAAACAGCCTTCTTTGAGCGCCTTTTTGTGCGTAAAAGTGAAATATTCCTCAAGGAAACGCGACACCGAGACACGGATGAGTTGCGAGAAGCGTTTCACTTAAGTCTGTAGTATTGTGAGTTGAGTGTAGTTACCCTCTCCTGAGTCCTGTGGGTATTAAAGGCTTATTTCTCGGTGCGGCATCTGTTGTTCTTACACACACACACCGTTCAATCTGACCTCCAGCGGCCAACAAACCAAGAAGGTGCCCAACCCGTCCGCACTGTCCATGCGCGTAAAATAAAGCCAAGTGAGGGGTGTGTGATTTATGTTGCTGACCAGATTTGGCTCCCCCGCTGTGATGCCGTATTAGTGTGTGTCTGTGTGTGTGTTGTGTGTGTGTGTTTGTGTGTGTGTGCCTTTGTCTGAGAGAGGGTGTGTGTGTGTGTGTGTGTGTGTGTGTGTGTGTGTGTGTGTGTGTGTGTGTGTGTGTGTGTGTGCTGTTCAACATGCCTGCAGCTTGATGAATGCTTTCTGCTGCTGTTATCTGTCTCATTTGCAGCTAAGCGAAGACAGCCAGGGTTAGGAGTTTCTTCACCTTGACACAGCAACTAAAGCATTAGCACATCTACGACGCCTTAAGCCCTGTAGCAGCTCAGTGTCTTGTTACTTGGAGAAAAGGACAGTGATCTTAACAGCTTTTGTGTGGCACCAACAACATCCTCTGCCTTAAGATATAGGGAAGCGTGTGGCACAGTGGATAGAGCCTACATGTAGGTCTGGGGATCAGATGGTCACAGTTTCCAACCCTACTGCAGTCAGCATGTCGTTGTGTGTATCATATATATATATATATGAATTTAAATGCTAAATATTTATATCAGTTATTAAGGATAAAGGATAGACTGATTCTGGGATTTTTTTGTTTTGTTTTTGTTTGTTTGTTTCTTTATTTTCTTTTTCTGTCAGCGGGATTATAGGACAACTACTGGGCCAATTTGTATGAAAGCGTACAGTAGCATTTGCCAAAGAAGAACCCATAAAATGTTGGCTTGAATATCAGAGTGGATTTTATGTTTTACTTCTGGAAACAGCCTTGGTGGTGGTCTGCACTCTCCAAGTGCCCTACTAATCCAAAATGTTATTATTCTCCAGCTGTCAGACCCATGAAAAAGCTTTTGCATCAAATGAATAGGACTCTTACTTCCGAAACCGAGAAGGCTAAATTACGTCGTCCTATTCACATCACTATTGGAAAGCAGCCCTGGCTTTCATCTGGTGTGAACACGTAAAATATATCATATTTTAACTAATGCTGTCAAAATTATTGCGTTAACGGTGGTAATAAATTTTTTGAATTAATTGCGTTAAAATATTTTACGCATTTAACGCATGCGCAGAATGGCCCACCCCATACATCCCACCAGTGGCAACGCCAGGGTATGGCTGGGGTAGGCTACAGCCATATCAAGAAATGGCTTAGCCCCACCATGAAAAATGATGTTAAAGTAAGCAAAATAAAGGCCGCCAACTCGCGCGGAGTAAATTGCACAGACAGCAGTTAGTAAGATTGATTTCAGTAGCCACTTGTCTGGAAATACCGAAGACTAGAAACGGTTTTGAAAACTTTTGTCACGTAGTGATCGTCTTCTCAATAGAACATCTTTGATAATGTCTTCTGGCCAATCAGAATCAACATAACGGCGTGGTGTTGTTGCAGGAAGTCCTGACGGAGAATACTTTTGCTGTAGTACATCACTATATACATCGATATAACATTACGTGTTGATAGAAATCAACACGTAATGAAATAAGACCCCACGGTTTGATGATTGATAGGTGTGTGGGCTGTCTTTCATTTTGACACACAGAAAAATGTTATAATAAACATACATACCTATGTTAAATGGATATATATACGCCTTCTTTCATTTATCTTTCCATTCCCACAACAATATACTGTACATAAAGAAATGGCATATTTTGGACATAGTTAGAATGGTGATTAATCATCATTAATTAATGCCGGGGGCATAGTAATCAGCAGCGAACCGCTTCAACACGTGTATTTTGGTG